GTATGCTATTATTATATATTTTAAATTTAATAGACATAATTGTCCAGAGCGAAGCAGAGAGCTCATTTCTATGCGCTTTAATAATTGAAATTACACTTTTGATGCGTTTATAATAGAGATATCAAATGATAAGGTACCGACAGATCCCAGTATATAAGGAACAGCTTCACGAAGAGAAGAGGGATTTTTAATTGCCTCGGGATTTGTGAATATGTACAATGTGTAAGTAAGGTTGCCAAGTGCAGCAAATATGAACATGAATATGGAAAGACCTTCGACAGATCTTCTCGTATACTAAAATATTTATAAGACAAATAATGTTAAAATAAAACAAATACAAATGAGGATTAAATATAAGAAAATTAAGCACATGAAAATTAAACATATTAATTACATTTTTCCATATTTGCGGCATTCTGCTTGTTAAATATAACACAGCACAAGCCCAAGCCATTGTTCGGCCTATGAGCATACCACTGTTTATTGAATCATTAGGAGTATTATCATTATGATCTAGAGATATGGCGTGATTATTTGGATGGGAAGTGGAAAGGGAAGATTTTATAACAGAAGTGGAATGAAAAGTGAATAGGAGGACAACGAAAACCATCGAAGAACTAATAAATTTAATAAATAAATTTAATAAATAAATTTAATAATAAATAAAAAAAATTAAAGAATCAAAAGACTAAGAAAGAAAAATAAAACATACATTCGTTTATGAGATCCTTTCTTTAATTCTGGGAACGTGTAACTTTTTTTTGCACCTTCTAATATCGAACTCCTTAGTGAAGACATAGAATACCTTTGATTAATTTGATCTTCTGGTTCTATCGATACATATTCATCATCTTGTCGAGGATAGAACCAGGAGTAATAAAAGTATTGGAAAAAAAGTCCAAAGTCTACTGAACAGAAGTAAATTGCTAGATACACCTATGAAAAGAGAAAAATTGAGTATGAACGAAAAAAAAGGGTATTGATACTAGTAGTCACATGACCAATTACCTGGAATGGCAATTGCTTTGTCAGTATGCAGCCAACAAGATTAGCTAAGTCACCCAATAGCCAATTCATTAAAAAGTATAAACTAAGGCCATCAACGGACTTGTTACGGTAATTTGTTATAATTTGGCTAAAAAAGATATTGATGATCAGTTGGCCAGACCAACCAGAACAAGAAAGATGGCAATAAAAAAAAAAAAAAAGAAAAAAAAAATACATACGGAAATTGAGCGCATAACCAACATGCTATAGAAGCAAATCCTATAAAAAAATAAGTTGGTAATATTAGAATGGAGCAAAATGAAATGAAATTAAAAAAAAAAAAAAGATAGAACGATAACTAACAATGATAGCCTCGCCTTTAAAAAATTTTTTGATTAACCTACCTAATATAAAGCTAAATATTCCTTGGTTGCCATATACACAGGAACCGAATAAAAAATGTATCCAGCGAACATAATGTTGACCATCCTCTGATATAGGTTCACACTCGGAAAACATTATATGTATTTTTTTTTTTTTTTTTTTTTATGAAATTAAGTATAATATTTTATAGAAAAAAAAAATCGGTTCGTTCTTTAAAACGAATTTATATTAGATGGTCAAACAAAAGGTTTAAAAACGTTTTTATCGTTCTTAATTGATTAGGAGAAATAGAAAAAAAACTCGATTATTGAAGATACACGTCAAAAAAAAAAGTTACTAAGGAAAGGATGGTGGCCGAGAAAAAAATGTCATTGAAAACGGAAACAAAAAAAAAACACGAAAATTTAAAGGGGGATAGCAAGTTCGTAAGGTATAAATGTAAAATAACGGAGGGGATAAAAGCATCTTGGATCCACAAAAAAAATAAACCGAGATGAACTTGTTACATGAATATACAGAATAAGTTATATTATGTAATAAGAGTATATAAAATAGATAAATATCACAGGCAAAAGGTAAAAATTCAAAATGCGCGGTTTTGTTTTATTTATTTTATTATTGATAGGTATCAGATATAGCATATATATATAGTATATATTAGAATATATAGAATATATAGAATATATAGAATATATAGAATATATAGAATATATAGAATATATAGTGTATAGGAACACAATATAAAAAACACATTTAGACCAGCTGATTTTCTCGTTCATCAAACACAGTAGGGAGTATATTACAGATCTATAATTGCGTAATTCATCAAATGACCTACACATTCTCCTTTGTAACCCTTATGACGCTTGGTATTTGCGTATATAAATTCTTTACGAATGAAAAAAAAAGAAAAAAATGATAATGCGTCACACTTGAGGTCACCTGTGAAGGTGGAAAGTAAACAAACATGTAGGAATTTGTGGTGACAATAAAGAACATTTATGTTGTACAACCATATTTTCATTAATCCCAGAATTAGAATTAGCCAGTGCTACACCTCTTAACTATATAAATGATCTTTTCTCGTCATCTACCAGTTTTTTTTTCTATTTCTCCTAATCAATTAAGAACGATAAAAAC